TCCCAGCACATTTACTGAATAAGGAGTCCTTTTCCTGTTGCTTATTTTTGTTGATTTGGTTGACAATCCGTTGGTTGTAGGTGTGTCTATTTCTGGATTCTCTGTTTTGTTCCATCGGCCTCTTGTCTATTTCTGTACCAGTTCCATGCTGTTTTGGTTACTATAGCCTCGTAGTATAGTTTGAAGTCAGGTAATGTGATGCCTCTGGCTTTGCTCTAGGATTTCTTTGGCTATTTGGGCTCTTTTTTGGTTCCATGTGAATTTTAGAAAAGTTTTTTCTAATTCTGTGAAAAATGATGCTAATTCAATAGGAATTACATTGAATTTGTAGATTGTCTTGGGAAGTATGGTCATTTAAGTGATATTGATTCTTTTAATCCATGAGCATGGGATGTTTTTTCATTTTTTATATCATTTCTGATTTCTTTCATTAGTCCTCTGTGTAGAGGTCTTTTACTTCCTTGGTTAAGTGTATTCCCAGGTATTTTGTATGTTTGTGTGGCTATAATAAATGGGATTGACTTTTTGATTTAGTTTGCAGCTTGAGTGTTAAATAGAAATGCAACTGATTTGCATATTTGTATCTTGAAACTTTACTGAAGTTGTTTTCAAGTCTAGGAGTCTTTTGGAGGAATCTTCAGGATTTTTCTAAGTGTAAGATCATGTTATCAGGGAACAAAGGTAATTTCACTTCTTCTTTTCCAGTTTGGATACCTTTTGTTTCTTTCTCTCCCCTAATTGCTATGTTTAGGACTTCTAGTACTATGCTATTTAGGAGTTGTGAGAGTGAAATCCTTGTCTTGTTCTAGTACTTAAGAGGAATGCTTTTTACTTTTCCCCATTCGTTATGATGTTGTGGGAGGGACACAGTGGGAGATGATTGAATCATGGGTGCAGGTAATTCCTGTGCTGTTCTTGTGATAGTGAATGGGTCTCACTAGATCTGATTGTTTTAAAAATGGGAGTTTCTCTGCACAAGCTCTCTCTTTGCCTGCTGCCATCCACACGAAATGTGACTTGCTCCTCCTTGCCTTCCGCCATGATTGTGAGGCCTCCCCAGCCATGGGGAAGTCCAATAAACCTCTTTCTTTTGTAAATTGCCCAGTCTCAGTACGTCTTTATCAGCAGTGTGAAAACAGGCAAATATAGAGCTGTTGCTTCCTACTTTTGAATTTGCTGACATTTGAATGAGGCTTTTAAATTTTATATTCTTTTTTCCTTTGAGGATGTGACTGTAGTATATATTGTGTATGATTGTCTGGCTTGTTTCTGGGTGCTTTCAGGGGGCCAAAGGTCCATGTGGGTTCCTTGGTTATGGATATCATTCGTGTGGTGGCTTTCCCAGATGCTGCTTGTTGTAGTGATGTATAGGGTGTATGAGTTGAAACACTATCTTCTGTAGGGCTAGGAGTATGGAGGTCTCAGGAAGCTTGTCTCATACACTAGCACTGTGCTTTTCTGACAGCAGGTTTTTTGTTTGATGATGCGGTTCAGTCTCTAGTCCAGTAAGTGATGCTTAAGGGTAAGAGGTACCTCACCGTCGGGTTGTTTGATGATGAGTGGAAGCCCCTGTCTTGATGGGGGTGCTGAGGTCTTAGGGGTGGGTGTCATGAGAGGGCTGTACCAGCTCCTCATCCTGGGCAGGCAGGAACACAATCCACTGCCTCTCATGCTCCTTTTGCAGTGCTTATGACCCTCAGTTCATATAAACACTGTCCTGTGGCTCCTGGCTGCTTCCCAGGTCTGTGAGAATGCTTCCGTTGTGGCTACCACCAAAATGGCCTCGGGTCAGAGCCTCTTTCCCCAGGCCAGAGCAGTCAGCTCTGTGGCTTGTCTGTCCTCTGTTGCAGGGACATTGCTACTTTGTGTAGGGAGGGGGAGATGGGGTCCTGCCTTTTCTGAAAGCCCAGGAAGTACTGTGCCTCACTTACATTGGGGGTGCAGCCACTGTGAAAAGTGCTAGAAAGCCTTTCTTCAACTGCACCAGTGCCTGCTCCCAGCAGGGAAAGCCTCTCTAAATCTGCAACAGAGAATGGGTGAAGCAGGAGATGGTCCCCTCTCCATGTCCCTTCCCAGCTACTGCTACTGTTCCCTTCAGAGATTGGTGCTGTGTCTACATTTTTTTTTTTTGTCCCAAGGGACACTTTGGTGGGCTGTGCTCCCCCTCTCCTAGAAGCAACCTGCACCAAGGGCTAGATTTCTGGGGTTCCTGCAGCTCCTCAGGGTCCTACCAGTCCCCCATGGTTGCCAAAGTCAGACTGGTTGTGGTGTATGTTTCTGGGGGATCTGGTGATACAACATCACAAAGGCTGAGGTTGCTTGGACAGGGCAGTGGCTCAGAACAGGTGTACAACCAGTATAGTGCCCACCCATCTCAGTTCAGGCCTGAGGGGAGTGCCAGCACACCTGCATGAGTTGATCACCTGGTACTCTATTCCCAGGAAGTTCCCAAATCACCACTGACAGCATTGCCCGGTGTCACGAAGGCAGAGGGGCTCTCCCACAATATGGCAGTCAGCAGTTTGTTACGGGTGAGAAGAGATGCACCCTCACCTACCCTTTCTGTAGGACTCCAGGCTCCTCAGGGGTCAGTGTCTGCCAGATTCTTGCTGTTTTCCTTTTCTCTGTCCCAGCTTCTTCCCGTGATCTCCCTGGCAGAGCCTGGCTCTCTTTCCTCTGCTCTTTTTTCATTTTAATTTCTAATACATAAATAGTGATAAATATGACCCACATAAGGAAAGGCCTTTTGGAATCCTCAAAATTTGTAAAAATATAAAGCCTCCTGAGACCAAAAAGTGTGAGAACTGCTGAGCTGAGGGATGGTCAGAAGCACCTTCCAGTGAGAGAGAGCATCAGGATGCAGAAGGGTGGGCAGGTCTGCAAAGGAGGAAGGGCGATGGAGATCACATGTGTGAGTGGTACCATTTGACCTCAATTTGATCTGACAGGACCTGTCTCCTACCTCCTATTTTAATGGTTTTATAGCAATGTTGGTGATTGTCTGAACTGATTCTGTTTTCAATCCAAATAATTAAGTCACCTGCTCAAAGGTCTGCTATGCCTCTTAATTTCAGGGCTTGGGATTCTGTGGGGCATTCCAAATTTTATCTGGTCTATCCTGCTGTCCTGTGGGCATAACTGTCCTTATGAGGCAGTTTTTTATTTCAGAAAATATGTCACTGTTGGTTTGACATATTTTGGTTGTTTATAAATTTGGAGACTGTATTTTTAAAAAGTTTTTAAATAAACTTTTTATTTTTGGATAATTTTAGATTTATGGAAAAGTTACACAGATAGAACAGAGTCCCCATATGACCCTCACCCAGTTTCCCCCATTGTTAACATCTTACATTACTATAACATATTTGTCAAAACTAAGAAACTGATATTAATATGTTACTATTAACTAACTGTATACTTCATTTGAATGTCACCAGTTTTTCCAAGTGTCCTCTTCCTGCTCTGGGATCCAGTCCGGAGCCCCACACTGCTTTTAATCGTCTGTAGCAGCTTCTCAGTCTCTTTATTTTTTATGACCTTGACAGTCTTTAGGTATATTGGTCAGGTAACCTGTAGATGATGCCCAATTTGGGGATCTTTTAAAAATTATTAAAATACGAGTACAGTTTTTGGAAAGAAAACAACAGAGATGAAATACCCTTTGCATCAGATCATAAGAGAGTTACAGCATATCCACATGACGTCACTGGGGACGTTAACCTTCATCGCTTGGTGACATCAGTGTTTGCCAAGTTTTCAGGTTTCCCCATTGTAAACTTACTATTTTTCCTATTTTCCTACTTTGTTCTTTAGAAGCAAGTCAGTAAGTCTAGCCCGCCCTTTAGGAGTAAATTGCAAGAATCAAACTCTGCTTCCTGGAGAGAGGGAGTGTCTACAGATAGTAATTGAAATTCTAATGTAAGAAATAAATTGGTCTCTTCTCCCCCTTTTATTTTTTCATTCATTTATTTATATGAGTATGCTGTATTGTATTTGTCAGGCTTCTCCAGAGAAAGAGAGCCAATAGGGGACACACACACACACACACACACACACGAGATTTATTATAGGAATTGGCTCACATGGTTATAAAGGCTGAGAAGTCTCAGGACCTGCTGTCTGCAAGCTGGAGACTCAGGAAAGCTAGTGGTGTAATTCAGTCCCAGACTGAAGGCCTGGTGTAAGTCTTAGTCTAATTCCAAAGCCTAAGAACTAGGAGCTCTGATGTTTGAGAGCTGAAGAATATGGATGTCCCAGCTCAAGCAGGGAACAAATTTGCTCTTTCTTCATCTTTTTTTCTGTGTAAGCCCTCAAGTGATTGCATGATGCCCACCTCAATTTGTGAGAGTGATCTTCTCAATTCAGTCTACCGATTCATATGCTAATCTCTTCCAGAGACTCTCAAAGACACAACCAGAAATAATGTTTTGCCACCTATCTGGGCTTCCCTTAACCCAGTCAAGTTAACACATAAAATTAACTATCACAGTATGGATTTATGTATATTTATTTTATGCTTTGGGATATACAATGTGATTTATTTTGTTGTTCAAATTGTTTCATTTTCCAACTGGCCATTGGGAACTTTTTCGGGTTGCTACCTGGGACCCTTTCGTATGCCGCTATCCTTTTGTTTTCTGAGTAGTTCCTTACTTTCTGGTGTTATAAGATATTCCAGGCTTATCTTGTGTTCTTCTTGTCCTGGTTTTAGAATCAGCCATTTTTTTCTGGCTTCTCTCATTGGAGAATGGTATTTAGAAACTAAGATCTGGGCAATGGGAGTGCTTGTTGTTATTGGGATGTCATTGCTTCCAGGCCTTCTCAGTAGATGGAACTAGGTAATACATTAACCCATAGATATAAATATATCTATAATTATTTCTATTGTTTATCTATTTGTATATATGTTAAGATAAACATAATAAAGACCCTTCAAATTTGCTTATGTTCTTTTTCAGCCTATAGACCAGATATAATATTTAGCTTTTCTTCTCTTACAGATTCCAGAAAGTCCTCTATTTAATATGTGCCTTCCAGAACATCTCCTGTGGTATTCACTACTTGGCTTCTGTGTTCATGGGAGTCGCCCCTTATCATGTCTGTAGGCCCCCAGGCAATGTGAGTCAGGTTGTTTTCCACAATCACTCTAACTGGAGTTTGGAGGACTCTGGGGCCCTGTTGTCTTCAGGCCGTAAAGATTATGTTGCAGTGCAGTTGCAGAATGGTGAGATCTGGGAGCTCTCAAGGTGTAGCAGGAGCAAGAGGGAGAATACATCAAGTTTGGACTATGAATACACTGGCAGTAAGAAAGAGTTTCCTTGTGTGGATGGCTACATATATGACCAGAACAAATGGAAAAGCACCGCAGTGACCCAATGGAACCTGGTCTGTGACCGAAAATGGCTTGCAATGCTGATCCAGCCCCTATTTATGTTTGGAGTCCTACTGGGATCGGTGACTTTCGGCTACTTTTCTGACAGGTAAAATGAAATATTTAGGATTGTTGCATCAGTGGAGGGTTTATTTTCCTATCTGGTTTTCTTGGGAGACAGGGAATTATGTTTAAAACTTGTCATTTTTATACTTCCTATCTAAATACCTACCTCTTTGCTGATCCATTATTTAGTGATGCATAATGATAAGGATAGGCTCTGAAGACAGTATACCTGAATCCAAATCCTGGTTCTACCACTTACTAGCTGTGGACCCTGGGCAAACTGCCTAAATTATCTGCATTTCAGAATCTTTGTCTATAAGCTGGTGATGAAAATGATATCACTTACTTCAAAGAGTTATTGCACAATTAATACAGAAAAAAGTACCCTGGATGTATAACCACTCAATAGATACTGTTTATTACTTTGAATATTTTCTTCTCTTGCTTTTTAAGAGGAGTAGCCTGATTCTAAGCAGTTTAACTGTAAAATTATGGGCTTGATATAACAGCCCCTTTTAGTCTTTCTGTGCTGCTGTAACAAAATATCACAGATGGGGTAATTTACAAACAATAGAAAATTATTTCTCATGGTTCTGGGAGTTGGGAAGTCCAAGATCAAGGTGCCAGCAGGATTGCTGTCTGGAAAAGCTGTTGTTTGCTTTCAAGATGGTGCCTTATTGCTGCATCCTCTGAAGGGGATAAATGCAGTGTCTTCGCATGGAAGAAAGGATGAAAGGGCAAAAGAGTGCCTTCAACCTTGAGTCCCTTTGCGAGGGTACTAAGGGCTCTGCTGTCATGACTTTATCACCTCCCAAGGCCACCCCTCTTAATACTCTTGCACTGAGGATTAAGTTTCAACATGAATTTTGGAGGGAATACTATCATTCAAAGCATAACATGGCCATACTTTTTAAAAATTTACATTAAAATGAATATATAATTCTTAAAATAAAGCAAAGCTTGTCTCTGTATGAACATGGACCACATCAAAGCACAGAGATGAACTTATTTGGTCTTGACAGTTGTGGATTTTACAGGCAGATGGTGGGCACTGAGGACCTAAAGACAATAGCTTAGGTCGGAAATCCCTGCCCTTGAGGTATACCAGTCTAATGGGGCTGATAAACATGTCAAAAGAAAAGTTACACAGCTTTGTCATGGGCAGGGCCATACGTCTCATAGTATGTTCAAAGGTGCTAGGTATTACTGTTTTCATTCAGCAAGCTGTTATACAAATTATCACTTGAGCCTTTTCTGTTGAAATGTGTTCACTGCTTGACTCTCGAAACTCAAAGTATTTGCAATTACATGTATGTAATGTACTAAAATACATTTGCTGTATGACAAAAGTGGAATATAAATAATGCTTATAACAAGGTCAGAGTACAAAATATGTTTACCGAAAATAAATTTAGTTCCTTTGTCTGAACTTGGTATAGTTATATAGACATATATTGAATACTTACAGTCACTTTGATAAATGCAGTATATATAGATTATAATATATAAATATATATTAGTGAAATTATATATATCTATTTCAGTGAAATATGTATATATACTAGTGAAAGCAACTTTATTAAGAAAGTAAAGTAATAAAGAATGGCTACTCCATAGGCAGAGCAGCCATGACATATATTTTTTAAAGTCCTTGAGAAGTTGTAAACCATTAACTGGTATTCATTTGGCTGTGTAGCTTGAATTAACATGACTTGGGAGTTCCAGAAAAATCTTAAGCTAAAAAATTGGTTTGACATGGTTCATGACTCCCAGAGTCTGTATTCTCACAGCAGAGCTTGTTGAGACAGACAGCCTCTTTACACTTTTTGTAGTCTTCTACACTTCTTGCTGGATGTGCCAAGATGGCAAGTCCCTGACCACTTTTTTACGTGGGCCAGTTTCTCAGAGTTGTCTATGCAGCCAGTACCTTAAAAGGTGAGTGCGATGGTTTACATATGATTTGTCTATTCCACCAAGGCTCATGTTGAAATCTGATCCCCGGCGTTGGGGTGTTGGGAGGTGAGGCCTAGTGGGAGGTGTTTGGGCTATGGGGGCGAATCACTGATGATTTGGTGCTGTTCTCATGGCAGTGAGTGAATGAGTTCTTGCTGTCACAAGACTGGATTAATTCTCACAGGAATTTATTAGTTCCTGTAAGAATAGGGTGTTTTAAAGTGAGGATGCCCCTCAGTTTTCTCTCTCTTTACATGTGTCTGATTCACCTTTGACCTTTTCTGCCATCTTGTGACCAGCATGAGAGCCCTTGTGAGAAACCAGTGCCCTTGAACTTCTCAGCCTGCAGAACTGTGAGCTAAATAAACTTCTTTTCTTCATCAATTATTCAGTCTCAGGTATTCCTTTATAGCCACATAAATAATGTGGCTATAAAAGATGAGATAATATCCCTTCTCTGCCACAAAGAGTAGGCTTCCTAACTGCTTGCTACAAAACCAGTGGATTCCCCACACCCAGTCTTCCTCCTCTCTAATTGAACCCACTATACACGAAGTGTCATCTGGGTTCATTGTGGGACCTGGGGCTCAGAGGAGCCATCACAAAGATGCTGCTGCCCTACTGCTTGCTAATGAAGTAATGCAGTTCTTCATCTCTGACCCAACCATTTTGTGTTTTTGCCAGCATCACTTAAATAGCACAGATTAATGTATAAACTTAGTGTGAAATAAAATTCAATGCCCTTTGTTTACCCTCATCTTGGGCCCACATTAACATACTAGAGGACAAAAATCATATGATCAACTCAATACATGTAGGAAAAGCATGTGATGAATTTCAAAATTCATTCATGATAAAAACTTAATATAGGAGAATGCCTTTAACCTGATAAGAGGTTTCTACAGTAAGGTTTACTTTGAAAGTTGTAATTTATGAGAGGATTCTCATAAATTGTTTTTCAAGGTGAATAAGTAGCTTAGCGAAAACCAAAACACATGATTAAAAGGCACCATGCATGAGAATCAACAAAACAGTTGGCAGCAGAAGCAGACTTCTGCACAAAGACTTTAAATACTAGAATGATCAGGCACAAATAATAAAATAACCACACTTCATATTTTTAAAGAAATAGGAGACAAGCTTGAAAATATTGATAAAAACTGGACATTGTATTAAAACTGACACAAAATTGAAGAATACCTAGGATACGTAGAAATAAAAAGTGAAATAAGTGAATAACAAATCTCCTGGATAATTTTAACAACCTGCTATACACAGCTACAAAAAGAATTCATGAAATGGATGATAACTTAGAAAAAGTTATCAATATTAAAGCTTAGAGAGACAATGAGGTGGGATATATGAGAGCATAAAATTCATGGAGGCTGAAAAAGGAAAAGGTCTGAAATGTATTTAATATTAGAAACTAATCAATAGAATTTACCACATTAACGTATTAGAAGACAAAATTCATACCATCAACTCAATACATATAGGAAAAGCATTTGCTGAATTTCAAAATCCACTCATGATAAAAACTAAAAATAGAAGAGTGCCTTTAACCTGATAAAAGGTTTCTGCAATAAGGTTTGCCACAATTGTGACATTTAAAATATTTTTCTTTCTTTCTTCCTTCCTTTCTTTCTTTCTTTTTCTTTCCATTCCTTCCTGCCTTCCTTCCCTCCCTCCCTCCCTCCCTCCTTTCTTTCTTTCTTTTTTTTTATTTTTTATTTTATTTATTTTATTTTTAGATGGAGTTTCGCTCTTGTTACCCAGGCTGGAGTGCAATGGTGCGATCTCAGCTCACCGCAACCTCCACCTCCTGGGTTCAGGCAATTCTCCTGCCTCAGCCTCCTGAGTAGCTGGAATTACAGGCACGCGCCACCATGCCCAGCTAATATTTGTATTTTTAGTGGAGACGGGGTTTCACCGTGTTGACCAGGATGGTCTCGATCTCTTGACCTCGTGATCCACCCGCCTCGGCCTCCCAAAGTGCTGGGATTACAGGCTTGAGCCACCGCACCCGGCCTCTTTTTTTTTTTTTTTTTTTTTTTTTAAGAGACAGGGTCTTGCTATTTTGCCTAGGCTGGTCTTGAACTCCTGAGCTATGCAGTTCTCTTGCCTTAACCCTCCCAAGTAGCTGGGATTACAGGCATGTACCACTGTACCCAGCTCTTAATTGTGAAATGTTAAAAGCTTTTCTTTGAGATTAGGAGCAGACAAGGATGTATGAAACATGTCTTCTACTTAGCATTGTACTGGAGAGTCTAGCCAGTGCTATAAGGAAAAAGAGAGAGAAAAAGGGAGAAGGAAAGGATGCAAGAAAGGAATAATGATTGGGAAGGAGGAATAAAAAGTCATTATTTGTAGTCATTACAATTCTGTTTGAAAAAAGTCCTACATATGACTTATTAGAATTAATGAGCATTTAAAATTACATTTCTATATACCATTAACAAATATAAAATTTAAGCCTAAAAATATGAAATATAAATGAATAAATATAACAAAAAGTGAATAAGGCCTTCTGTGGAGAAAATTATAAACTTTAAGAATCAAATCATTCGCCGGGCGTGGTGGCTCAAGCCTGTAATCCCAGCACTTTGGGAGACCGAGGCGGGTGGATCACGAGGTCAAGAGATCGAGACCATCCCGGTCAACATAGTGAAACCCCGTCTCTACTAAAAATACAAAAAATTAGCTGGGCATGGTGGCACGTGCCTGTAATACCAGCTACTCAGGAGGCTGAGGCAGGAGAATTGCCTGAACCCAGGAGGCGGAGGTTGCGGTGAGCCGAGATCGTGCCATTGCACTCCAGCCTGGGTAACAAGAGCGAAACTCTGTCTCAAAAAAAAAAAAAAAAAAAAATCAAATCATTCAAGTAAATAGATATATTACTAGACAAACAGATTAAGGCTCCCTTAGAGGCTCCTGGAATAGACTTGTGCATTCATAGACATAAGTATAAACACATAAAGCATTGTATATTAGCAAGGAAAGGATCAAGCAGTAAGTGGGGCTGGGACAGATGTCTAGCCATAAAGAAGGAAATATAATTGGATTAATTTTCTCAAATTTTACAGCACAATAGCAGTTCCAGAAGGACTGAGAGTGCATATGTGAAAAGAAAAACTACAAAGCTTTAGGAAGATAATTTAGGAGAATATTTTCAGAACCTAATGGAAGAAAGGATGTTTTTTTAAAAAAACAAAAAGCATTGACCATGAAAGAAAAGATGGATAAATTTGACTTCATTACAAGAATTTGTGTTCATCAAAAGACACCATTAAAAGAGGAAAGATGTGAATGTGTGCACACAAGAGATAGAAAACATTTGCTTTGCCTATAGCTAAATTATTAGTGTCCAGAATAATCAAAGGATTTTTACTTACATCAGTGGGAAAAAGGCAACCCAATAGAAAAATGGGAAAAAGATTTGAATTCACTTCATAAAAGAGAAAATCCAAATGGCTAATGAAAAGATGAACTGTCAGTGATGTGTAATCACACCATTTATTTTTGACCAGTTGTCAAAGTCTTGTAATACTAAGTGTTGGCGAGGATATGGAGTAATAGGATCTCTCATCCTGCTGGTGTGCATGCAAATTGAGATAACCTTGAAGACTGATCTGGTATCATATAGAGTTGGTGATGTGCACAGCCACACGTTCTGGGGCACATACCTTGAGCTGCTCCAGCACAGGTCCACAGAGGTACATGGATAAAAGTGTTCCCCTGGCATTGTTCCTAACAGCCCTGCACTTTGAACAACCCGGGTGTTCTTCAATCATCTCATGGACACATGTATTATAATATATTCTTACAGTAGGATATGTGTCCATGAAAATGAATGAGCCACAGCTGCATGAAACCACATAGATGAATCTCCTAAACATAATGTTTGGCGAAAGAAGCAAGTCATAAAATAACACCTGTGGTGTTATCCTGTTATAGAAAATTTAAAATCAGATTGCAAAACTAACCTTTGCTGTTTATAAACAGTAACCTGTACTGTTTAGCATTGCTTATAAAATGGTAAAATGAAACAAAAAACAAGGGGTTATCACGAAAATTAGAAAAATGTTTCCTCCTAGAAAGGGCAAGGGATTTGCAGTCATAAAGAGAGGTACAAGAAGCTAACAGGGGGCTGTCAATCATCTCTTTCTTGCCTTGGGTTGTGATTTCTAGGCATTTGATTTTTATTATTCTTGAAATGGTACATATTTTATGCATTGTTATATATGTATAAAATATTATAATAAGAAAAGCAAAGTAATAAGATCTGATCCCATACTTAAGGAGCAAACAGTGAATAATATAGACTATTAAACAGATAATTTCAATGAAATGTGGTAATTTTTTTTTTTTTTGAGAAGAAGTCTGGCTCTGTTGCCCAGGTTGGAGTGCAGTGATACAATCTTGGGTCACTGCAACCTCTGCCTTCCAGGTTCAAGTGATTCTCCTTCTTCAGCCTCCTGAGTACCTGGGACTACAGGCATGTGCCACCATGCCTGGCTAATTTTTGCATTTTTAGTAGAGAAGGGCTTTTACCATGTTGGTCGGACTGGTCTTGAACTCCTGACCTCAAGTGATCTGCCTGCCTTGGCCTCCCAAAGTGCTGGGATTACAGGCATGAACCACTGTGCCCAGCCAGTAAATGCTTTTAAAATAATAAAAAAAACTCTCATTTATGGACAATTTACTTACACACTAGGTACTACTTTAAATGTCTTATATATCATCTCATTTAATTATTTAAGGAAGTCTGTGAGATAGACACTATTGCCCATCTCCGCCCCCCCCCCCGCCCCCACCTTTTCTTTTAGCCAATAAGGAAAATAGGAAGCATAGAAAGTTCACATGGAAAATAAGAGATGGAGCTGGGATGTGAGCCCAGGCCAGCATCCCCAGCTACTGCATCACACTGTTTCTGAATTTCTGCTATGAGACTCCAAATGATGATCAATGGCAGTTGTCAGATGGAGAAGGCCCCAAGGGAAAGGAAGAGCTTTGTATCATGCAACAGCCTGGCATGTTCGGAGAATTGTGGGAAAGTCCATGTGGCCGAGGTACAGGAGGGCCGATTGTTCAAGGAAATGACAAGAGACAAAACCACAATGGGGATTATTTTAGTTTTAGGAAGTGTGCGAGGTATACTGGTGTGAGGTTAGGAAGATCAGCTGCGGAGCTATTGGGATGAATGATGTAAGAAATGGTGAAGACTTGAGTGAAAGTGGGAAAAGCAGGGAGGAAAAGATGAAGCCATTATTTGGGAGGCATTTCTAAACTGACAAAATTTGATGACCGCCGGGCGCGGTGGCTCAAGCCTGTAATCCCAGCACTTTGCTAGGCCGAGGCGGGTGGATCACGAGGTCGAAAGATCGAGACCATCCTGGTCAACATGGTGAAACCCCGTCTCTACTAAAAATACAATAAAACTAGCTGGGCGTGGTGGCACGTGCCTGTAATCCCAGCTACTCAGGAGGCTGAGGCAGGAGAATTGCCTGAGACCAGGAGGCGGAGGTTGTGGTGAGCCGAGATCGCGCCATTGCACTCCAGCCTGGGTAACAAGAGCGAAACTCCGTCTCAAAAAAAAAAAAAAAAAAAAAAATTTGATGACCAATATGCAGGAGGAAGTGGAGGAACGTATTAAGGTTTAGAAGCCTGATGGAAGGGGATTTTGCTAACCAATTCAGGAAATACTAGGGAGAGAGCAGCTTTAGAAGAGAGGGGAATACGTTTGGATATATTCCAATGAGCTTGTCCTATCCCTATACTAAGAATAACAAAGGGAAGACGTATTCGAAGTTAATACCTTATAACAGCAATAAGAGATCGCAGCTCGGCGGGACCTTACAGTGGAGAACAACTGGGGCCGGGTGGTGAGTGGGAGTTAATAGCCCATACTTAGGAGTCAGAGGCAGGGAAGTAGATGAAATCACAAGGGCAGTGTGTGCCGCAGAGGACTTTAGGGAGTACCAGCATTGAGGCAGGTCAGTCATCAGGGAGGTACAAGCGGAACCAGGAGAGAGGGATGTTTTGCAAGCCAAGGGACAGCAGGAGCCTGATGAGTAGGCATGGTCAGTGGCACCAGGGAAGACAGGCAGAAAGGACCAGAAGAGGCAATGTGAAGGTCCCTGGCGACTGCAAAGTGAGCTCAGAAAAGCTGGTTGCACCTGGTCATCACTGGCGGAGGAAACAAGTAGGAGCTGAAAAAGGAGATACCCTCTTCTGAGAAGTCTGTCAAGGGAGGAAACGCAAGGTGGCCAGAGGAGCAGTGGGGTCAAGAGAAGGTTCTTGTCTTTGGTTGGAGGAGACTAAAACTGAAAGGAAGAAGTCAAAAGAGAGGGAAAAAATAAAGGAAAAAGAAGTGATGGGTTTCGGAGGAGGTGGGAAGAGGCACAATCCATACTAAGATTGCAAAATGCTATTTGGAGAGAATATCCATATAATGGTGCTACTCAGATATAGAAAATGAATGAAGGACTCATACATGGCACTATGCAGATGAACCTGAAAACATCACGCTAGGTAAGAGAAGCCAGACACAAAAGGCCACATATTGTTTGACTCTATTTATGGGAAATGTCCAGAACAGGCAAATCTAGGGAGACAGTAGGTAGATGAGTGGTTGTCAGGAACTGGAGGGAGCAGGGAATGGGGAGTGGTGGCTCCTGGGTACAGAGTTTCTTTTGGGAGTGATGAGTATGTCCTGGAATTAAAGCATGATGATGGCTGCACAATCTTGCGAATATACGAAAAACCACCAAATTGTCTACTTTAAAAGGTTGAATTTTATGGCATTTGAATTATATCACAATTTTTAAAATCCAGGTGAAACCCCGTCTCTACCAAAAATACAAAAATTAGCCGGGCATTTGACATGCGCTTGTAGTCCCAGCTGTTTGGGAGGCTGAGGCGGAAGAATCGCTTGAACCCCGGAGGCGGAGGTTGCAGTGAGCCGAGACTGTGCCACTGTGCTCCACTGGTGACAGAGCAAGACTCCGTGTCAGGAAAAAAAAGAAATATTATTTGTTTTTCAGACAAAGAAATGCCTCTTTCAATTATGGAAAAATAGGGCAAATAAGCACATTATTCTAGAAGCAAGACCTCTGTTTTTTGGGGGGCTTGGCAAGAGCTGTCATAACCTTGGTGAACAGAGCCAGCCTGGCAGAGAAGAGGATCCAACAGAGAGCCAAAGTCTTGGAAGCGAGAGGACGGATTCTCCCCTCTCTTCCCCCAGCCCCAGGTTAAGGGGTACTGCGGGAATGACTCAGAGTGACCAGGTATGTATATTAGCAGCTGAGGTAAAGGCCTCTCCACTGAACAGCTGGTCTTTTAAAGAAGCCATGGAACTTATGGTTTGCTCAAAATAAAAGAAAAACAATCAATACCTAAGCTATTCAAGGTATATAGGTAACACCTACCTTTCATGAATTGGAGTGAATGTTTGAACGGTTACAATGCTACCTTGCCTCTTCCAATGTGTGGCCCTTATTTTTCAGGCTAGGACGCCGGGTGGTCTTGTGGGCCACAAGCAGTGGCATGTTTTTGTTTGGAATAGCGGCGGCGTTTGCAGCTGATTATTACACCTTCATGGCCGCACGCTTTTTTCTTGCCATGGTGAGTTGTTGTTTTTTTACCTGCTTAATTCTGCTGCAGTATTTCCATAGAAAACCTTAACTCTCTTCATTTTGCTCATTTAAGATCTAGTGAGCGAGATCAAGGCCTAATCTTTGTCCACTCCACTGCGGAAGTCTGTCTACGGAATATCAATGCCTTATGTTTAGAATGGAACTCATTAAAATGAAAAATTGCTGCTGGCTAGGCAGAAACTTTGTGTTTGCCTCTGTGTCTGGCACGTGGCCCACATCTCACAATTACTAAGGCATTATTTTATTTCTGAACAATTATATTGGTCTAGTCAGGGCCTGTTCACAGGAGCAGACACACAGTTAAGGTGTGTGGGTAAAGTCACTTGTATAATGTGCAGGAAGAATGAAAACAGGAAGGCATTAGGCCCTTATGTTAGCAGGAATGGGGGTGTAGTGGAAAGGGCATGAGTTTGAACACCAGCTCTGTCGTATATTGCTTTGTTCGTTGCATGACCTTGAGCACACTCGTTATCATCTTTGAACCTTAGGTTGTAGTCTGTAAACTGTAGAAAAGAATCCCTGTTTATTCTTCTTCTTCTCAGGATTCAGTGAGATCAAGTGTCAACAACCCTAGTACCACCCCTGGTTATAACGTTGACCGTTATTAGAAATGGACCAGCGAGCAAGGAAGCTGTTTCCATGCTCAGTGAGGCTTCCAGACAGATTTCCAACTGTCCAACAACAGCAGCAGTGATTTTCAATTGCAAATCACTGATCAAGAATAATAGAGGGAAGTTTCCACCTGGCGGAGGCACTTGTGATCTTCCTAACCGCAAAGCACCAGCTTGGATGGTCTAAGGGTCCAGAGAGAAGCAAAGGACTTAAATCTCCCTGCACCCCCTCAGAGAACAAGATGGGGTGTCAGTTTGGGAGTCTTTATTAATGTATGGAAAGGGTTCCTAGCAAACCATACAGATGGCCAAGAATAAGGAAGATGAATAAAAATAAATCTAGGAGAATTGAAGGTGCTGTACCTCATCAAAAAGTAAATACATATCTTTGAGACTGTAGAGAGTTTTAAATACAAGATAGCAGCCAGTAATTCTGCTTCCACTGAGGACGTAACTCTGGGACTGTAGGGTGAGATTTTATGAGAGAGACCTTCTGGCGGGACTGAAGGTTCCATGGAGACACAGATACTGAGAAAGTATAAAGGTCATCTTTTGGAAGACGTAAGAGGATATTTCTGAAAATATCTGTTTCAGTCTTGCAAAATACCCTGCTTTGGTTTCTAGAGCCAAGGAAACAAGACCACAAACCCGTAGAATACATCTGTGAAATGTGGCCTTAATTTTTTGCGACAATGTCCTTTGATGTTCATGGGAAATTGGTTTGCGGTCAAAGTCTGAGTACGGGAGATGCAGGCAGATTCATTTACTCAATGCATTTGTTGATCTGTCTACAGAGTGTAATCCTAAGTAAACCGAACCCAGCTGTCTCAATAAGTCTAGTAGGAAAGGCAAGATGTTGATCAGCCATCTTCAAAAATGAATAAAATGTTGACAGTGAGGGCATAACAGCAGTGAGTCTGGAGGGTCAAGGACTTTTTCATTGTGAGGGGTGGGTGAGAGAAGATTTCAGCAAAGATAGAAGCAGATGAAAGGGCCCTGAGATGAGAAAGAGTTAAAAATCAGAATGTCTGGAGAATAGAGAGGAGGAGGGATGCATTGATGAGGCTGAAAGGGTCGAGGCGGTTGGGTGGTACCTTTAGGATTGTCGGTATTTTTCTCTATCTCCTAAAGGCAATGGCAATCCACAGAGAGGGTTCCAGGGATCCTGGCTGCTATGAGGGGCTGGAGTCAGAGAAGATGTGAGGAGTAGAGTATTATCAGTGGTAGGGATGGGTGTGAGTGGAGTCACAGCGTGTTTTGGAGTTAGATATTTGTATATAAATTTTCTGAATCCAACGACAGAGGAAGTTGTAGCTGACACACGAGAAATAATCAGCATTGAAAAACCTGACAGGGACAAATATTACAGCTTAATTTAACTGGGAAATTTATAGTATTTGAAAATTATCACAATCTTTATTTACTCTAACAGCAGCACTTACCAAAAGCGACCTGGATTCTTGGATTTAGGGTCCTAGTGATCTGAGTCTTGCCATTACAAAGTTGCACAGGGAAATAGAAGCTGATGTCACAAAAATGTTAAACTGATTATGAGTACAGTAGTTCTCCTAATCAGCGCTTCATTGAGTACCTCCCTGCCTTCTGCTAGTGTCAACTTTTCTGACAGCAGGAATACCCTTGTAGGCCAGCCTCTTTGTGACTTTCTGATGCAAGATGAAATTGCAGATATTATGAGGGATGTGTGTTTACAAAAAGTCTTTAAAAGCAGTGAGGGAACACTGCCTGAATCCTACCCACAACCTCTGGCAGAGATAGACCTATTAACTTTTGAAGAAATTAACATCTGCAAGGATAATCACATGATGAGCCTTTGAAAGAGTATGCTTCAAATATCTAATGATTAGGAGAAGCCTTTGGGGAAATCAGTGGTGCTCTTGAATAATTTTACAAAAATTAACTTTATGATTTGTGTTGAAGTCAAATGTGAAATAATTTAGTAGAAAAAATTTTTAGCCCTTTCCTCCCAAAAAAACCACATTGGACTCATTCTTTGTTTATTCCAAGAATGATCACATATTATATTCAAATCACATATTGTAATCTAATTTTAATTTAAGATAGACATATTTTCAAACTAAAGTTCTTGCCCGGTTTTCCTTAATGTGGTAAAGTACATATAACACACAATTTATCATCTTAACCATTTTAAGCGTACAGTTCAGTGATATTAAGTGCATTCATATTGTTGTGCAATTATCACCACCGTACATCTTCAGAACCCTTTCATCTTGCAAAACAGAAACTCTGTCCATTAAATCATAATTCTCTATTCCCTGTCTCCCTAGCCCCTGACAACCACCATTCTACATTCTGCCTCTATGAGTTTGGCCACTCTCAGTACCTCATAAAAGTGGAATCATACGATATTTGTCTTTTTGTGACCGATTTATTTCACTTAGCATAATACTCATTGTATGCATAGACTACACTTTTCTTATCTGTTCATCTGTAGACAGACACTTGGGGGTTGCTTCCATACTTTAGCTATTGTGAATAATGCTATGAGCAAGCATGGAGAAATCTCTCTTCCAGGCCCCACTTCCAATCCCTTTGGGCATATACTCAAAGGTGGAATTGCTGGATCATGCCGTAATTGTTTTTTAAGGACTTTTTTTCCATACTGTTTTTCCTAGAGCCTGTATCATTATACATTCCAATCACACATGACACATGGATTCTAGTTTCTCTACGTTCCCACTAAAACTTGTTAATTTTTTTTTTTTAATTAGCCACCCTAATGGGTATGAAGTGATATCTCTTTGTAGCTTTGATTTGCATTTCTCAATGATTGGTAAACATTTTTATTTCTTCTAAAAATGCCTATTCAAAGCCTTTTCCCATTTTTGAATTGGATTGCTTGTATTTTTGTTGTTGTTGGGTTTTCGGCGTTCTCCATCAAATCCCTTATCAAATATTTGATTTGCAAATATTTTACTCAGTTCTGTAGGTTGCCTTTTCAGTTGATCATGTTCTTTGATGCACAGAAGTTTCAATTTTCATGAAGTCTAAAATGTGTCTATTTTTTGGTCTGTCAAAACAAAGTTTTAATTAAATCTGTTTTTCTTGCCACCAGTTAGTGTAAATTTTTTTTGTCTCCATTTAGCAATTAAGATTTAACAGTAAGGACCTCCTGGATACAGATAACTTGATGTGCTCATTTACAAGGAACGGAGAAATCCATCAACATTATAATGGAATGTTTAGATGACATGAAAGGCAGTGTCTTCCATTTATATTATAAATAATCTATCAAGTTTTGCTCTTTGGGGTGGGGAGGAGGAGGGAGGTTGAAAGGACCTATGAGAAGGAAAACGTTAGATTGGATTAAACGTCATTTTATGCATGTGATGTGGGTTTCAGAAAGCAAATCTTTGTCATCTTTTTTTGCCAATATGTGATTTGCAGTGGGGTCAGACACCTCGATAGTTATATAGATCCCTATTCTTTGTTTTTCAGGTTGCAAGTGGTTATCTCGTGGTGGGGTTTGTCTATGTGATGGAATTCATTGGCATGAAGTATCGGACTTGGGCGTCTGTCCATATGCACACCTTTTTTGCAGTTGGAACCCTGCTGGTGGCTTTGACAGGCTACTTGGTCAGGACCTGGTGGCTTTACCAGATGATCCTCTCCACAGTGACTGTCCCCTTTATCCTGTGCTGTTGGGTGCTCCCAGAGACACCTTTTTGGCTTCTCTCAGAGGGACGATATGAAGAGGCACAAAAAATAGTTGACATCATAGCCAAGTGGAACAGGACCAGCTCCTGTAAACTGTCGGAACTTTTATCGCTGGACCTACAAGGTCCTGTTGGTAATAGCCCCACTGAAGTTCAGAAGCACAACCTATCATATCTGTTTTATAACTGGAGCATTGCGACAAGGACACTTACCGTTTGGCTAATCTGGTTCACGGGGAGTTTGGGATTCTACTCCTTCTCCTTGAATTCTATTAATTTAGGAGGCAATGAATACTTAAACCTCTTCCTCCTGGGTAAGTAGTTAAAAGTGTATTTAAATTTTGCAGTGAAGTGAGATTTCTACCATTTATGTGTGTTTCTGTGTGAATTTGAGAAAAAGAGTATGTTTTTAATAGGCCTTTTAAAACCAAGAGCAATACTGCCAACCATATTCTTTTTTTTTTTTTTTTGAAATGGAGTTTCGCTCTTGTTACCCAGGCTGGAGTGCAATGGCGCGATCTCGGCTCACTGCAACCTCCGCCTCCTGGGTTCAAGCAATTCTCCTGCCTCAGCCTCCTGAGTAGCTGGGATTACAGGCACGCGCCACCATGCCCAGCTAATTTTTTTGTATTTTTAGTAGAGACGGGGTTTCACCATGTTGACCAGGATGGTCTCGATCTCTCGACCTCGTGATCCACCCGCCTCGGCCTCCCAAAGTGCTGGGATTACAGGCTCGAGCCACCGCACCCAGCCATATTCTTATAGTATCTCTTAGTGTTATAACACCTGTACATATGAGGGGACTTCAACAAGTTCATAGAAAAATGGAATTAAAAGATAAAAATGTAAAATACAAACTTTCTCAACGTGATTGCCGTCAAGGTCAAGATACTTTTGTAAGACACCAGCCATTTAGTCCACCCCTAAAGAACTCAGGGTCCTGAGAATGCACCTATGTCAATGCCGTCTTTTTTACACTATTAACTGAAGAAAAATGGGTGCCACGTACAGGTTTTTTAAGATTAGGAAACAGAAAGAAGTCAGAAGGAGCCACCATGAGAACTGTAAGGTGGCTGCCGGGTGCTTTCCCATTAAAACTCTTGCAAAATTGATGAGAGGGATGAGCGGGACCATTGTCATGGAGGAGAAGGACTCCCTGGTGATGTTTTCCCAGGCATTTTTCTACAAAAGCTTCGGCTAACTTTCTCAAAACACTCTTATCATAAGCAGATATTTTCATTCTTTGGCCTTCTAGAAAGTTAACAAGCAAAATGCCTTGAGCATCCCCAAAAAACGTTGCCATGACCTTTGCTCTCGACTGGTCCACTTTTGCTTTGCCTGGACCACAGCCACCCCTTGGTAGCCATTGCTTTGGCTGAGCTTTGTCTTCAGGAACACACAGGTAAAATCGTGTTTCATCTCCTGTTAAAGTTCTTCCAAGAAATTCTTCAGGGCCTTGATCCCACTTGTTTAAAATTTCCAATGAAAGTTCTGCCCTTTGCAGCTGATCTGGGCACAACTGTTTTGGTACCCATTGTGTGGAAAGTTTGCTCAACTTTAATTTTTCGGTCAGAATTCTGTAAGCCAGACTAATTAAGGTGTCTATGGTATTGGCTATTGCTTCTGCTGTTAGCCTCAGTCCTTGTCAATTCGGGCATCAACAAGATGTATTTTTTTCTTCGATGTGGTTGCTCTGCCACTGTGGGCTTCATCTTCAATATCGTCTTGTTCTTTCTTAAAATAAGTTCTCCATTTGTAAACTGATGATTTATTTGGGGCATTGTGCTCATAAACTTTTCATAAAGCATCAATGATTTCACCATTCTTCCACCCAACCTTCACCAGAAATTCGATGTTTGTTCTTGCTTCAATTTTAGGAGAATCCATGTTGCTCTAGTGGGAGCTCTTTTCAAACTGGTATCTTCTTCTTCTCAGTGCCTCAAACTAGCTCCTCTCCAGACATGTTCTAAGGAGTTAGTACAAGTTTCTTTTGGTGCAGAAAAAAATCCTAAAAAGCAATGCATAGGTTTTTCATAATTTGCACTTTTCATGAAATTTTTTTTTTTTTTTTTGAGACAGAGTCTTGCTCTGTCACTCAGGCTGGAGTGCAGTGGTGCTATCTCAGCTCACTGCAGCCTCTGCCTCCTGGGTTCAAGCAATTCTCCTGTCTCAGCCTTCCAAGTAGCTGGGATTTACAGGTGCACGCCACCATGCCTCGTTAATTTTTGTATTTTTGTAAAGACAGGGTTTCACCGTGTTGGCCAGGCTGGTCTCAAACTCCTAACCTCAGGTGATCTGCCCATCTCAGCCTCCCAAATTACTGGGATTACAGCCATAATCCATGTGTAATCCAGCATCAGGACATCCATGACCTTTTTGAAGAATCCTTGTATTTTTCCGTTTGAAAAAAAATGCGTCAGAAGAATTTAGTCGCTCCATTTCTGCCTTCTCTCCTTGCTCACCTCCTGCATACCCGTCCTCAGCCTAGAATTCTTCCCAGGGGTGACTTCTATAATGTTTTCTTGTACCCTTCCAGATCTATTTCTATGCATTTGTGCCAGACATGGTGGCACGTGCCTATAGTCCCAGCTACTCAGAAGGCTGAGGTAGGGGGATGGCTTGAGCTCAGGAGTTCTGGGCTGTAGTGCGCTATGCCAATTGGGTGTCTGCACTAACTTCAGCATCAATATGGTGACCTCCCAGAATCGGGTGACCACCAGGTTGCCTAAGAAGGGGTGAACTGGCCCAGGTCGAAAACGAAGCAGGCCAAAAGTCCCGTGCTAATTAGATCTATTTCTATGCATTTCCATATACTTGTGCATATAAATGTTTTATATTTTAACACAAATGAGATCACTCACTATATATTGTTCTTTGTAAGTTGCTTCCCTTTTAAAATTTAATATACCTTGGCTATCTGGCTATCTCTCAACCTTTAGATGTCCTTAATTTAGAAATTTTAGTTGGCAAAATAACTTTTAAATACATGCAACTATAATTTGTGTCGTAATATTTCTTTCATTTCAATGGCAGGGTAGATCGCTTTTGATAGCTTGAGATGTGACTCCTAGTATAAACCAAATTTGAACTAAAATGTGAGAGAAATATTACAAACCTCTTTTTATCCATCTAGTCTTAACTCCTGGTTATTTCTGTGTAGGCTGCCTGTATTTTTATATTATCCTCAAAACAGCTTGCTTCTAAATTTTTATACATAGGTATTGTGCCTTCTCAAAAGCACTCTGATGACACATCTGGCTTTCTTTTTGATTTCCTCAGCAGACACATCTGTTTTGTTTGTTATAGCTCAACAGGAATTATGAGAGAAGTCGTTTTAAGAAAAAAGATTTACTCTTTTTTTTTTTTTGAGACGGAGTTTCGCTCTTGTTACCCAGACTGGAGTGCGATGGTGCTATCTTGGCTCACTGCAACCTCTGCCTCCTGGGTTCAGGCAATTCTCCTGCTTCCGCCTCCTGAGTAGCTGGGATTACAGGCACGCACCACCATGCCCAGCTAATTTTTTATGTATTTTTAGTAGAGATGGGGTTTCACCACGTTTACCAGGATGGTCTCGATCTCTTGACCTCATGATCCACCCTCCTCGGCCTCCCAAAGTGCTGGGATTACAGGCTTGACCCACCGCACCCGGCCTACTCTTTTTTTTGGAAGCAAACTAACAAGTTTATAGAAAGAGCCTGTCTTGACTTCAAACCCATTCTCTATGACAATCTGGTATGGTGCAGTATCCCTAGAACAGAGTGGCCAATGGTATGTGGATCAGGTAGGGTGGAGTGTGGATGCGGAAGCTTAGGTAGGCTAGAAGTTTAGATCTTCATGACATAGTTTCTTACTTTTGCCAAAGATACAAATTCTCAAAAAACTGGGCAATCTCATAAATACAAAAATGTTCCCAAAGACAAACACGCATGGTTTTATATTAGCCACTGTTGTGGATTCTTCATGTCAGTATCGTTGCCATTGGTATTCTTGCAGACGGCTGCTTCTGCTCAATAGTTCTCTGCTGTGAAAATTTTGAATACGTTTTTATCTCCAGAGATGATTTGGGGCTGGTGGGAATTTGGGCTCCAGTTTTGTGCCATTTGCAGGTGCCAGGTGGATTACGAGCATTAGAGCATTTCACAGGAAATGCTTATCCTCGCTGCAGTGAGTTTAAAAATGGAGAGGCCCGCTGCCTCACAGAAATCCTTAGAGAGTTTCTAAAGGCTCCTAGAAGTGAGGAAAGGGCTGCTCATGCCTTTTGGGTGGTGGGTTAGAAGGCAGGGGCCCCTTGTGCAGCCAGATGCCTAGCCTTATAGAGGGCCTGCTTGCTCGATGACAGGTGTGGTGGAAATTCCTGCCTACACTTTGGTGTGCATCGCCATGGACAAGGTCGGGAGGAGAACAGTCCTGGTTTTCGCCCTTTTCTGCAGTGCACTGGCCTGTGGTGTCATTATGGTGATCCCCCAGGTGAGTTATTGTGTGTTTTATTTAAGGAATGGTTACCTATACTGTGACAGTTTGATGGGAAGAATTTTAGCTTATTACCGTTAAGTATGAAGGTCAATTCAGAGTATGAATTGGACAGAGTATATAATATTTAAAAATATGTTTTCTTTAAAAAATTCTTTTTCTGTTATGTAAGTAATATATGTTAATTGTAGAAAATTTAATGAGAAAAATGTCAAAAACAACAACAACAAAAAAAAAAACCCGACCTGGGTGCAGTGACTCACACTTATAATCCCAGCAAATCAAGAGGCTGAGGTGGGACGATGGCTTGAGTTCAGGAGTTTAAGGCTGCAGTGAGCTGTGATCAAGCCATTTTACTCCAGCCTGGGTGACAGAGTGAGACTCCATCTCAACAAATAAAAAATAAAAAGTCCGTAATCCAATTCCCAGAGATGACCAGTGATGTATTTTGTAAACGCAATAATCTTGTGTGAGGATGTCTATCACATCTTCCAGCATCATCATCATATTAAACATTCACTCATTTATTAATTCGGCAAACATTTACCCACCATCTTTTATGTACCAGTTGTAGGGAACACACAGTGCATCAGGTTTCTGTAAGTGTAATAAGTGGGCACAGGGCAGGTGTGTGTCCTCTTTTTTCTGGGATGGTCGAAGGTGATGTGCCCCTCAGAGTTGGTGACATGGGATCAGAAACCTGAATGAGAGAGGCAGCCTTGGAGACATCTGAAGGATATGAGTCAGGTATTCAGGACCCTTAGAGTTTCACTACTCTGTTTTTCATTGCAGGAGATTAGTGGTTTCCAGTGTCTGGTATGTATAAACACCCCGAGGAGCTTGTTTTTAAAAACAATTTCTTAGTGAGAAAAGTTGCCCAGAAACTACTGAAATGGTTTTCGTATTTCTATATTTTGGCAAACTGCATCCCCCCAAAATGCCTTTTCCATCCAAAATTCTTCCTCTCTGCCCCAAAAAGATGTTATCAGACCTGTTTTTAAATTCTTGACTTGGAAAATGTCATTATAACAGTACTTAAAATATTTTATTTAATGTTCTGTGATTATATAATCACCAAGCAATAGTATATTGGCATTTGGAGCAAAGCATTTTAAGTTTTGCCTATGGTTTGAAGTGTAATTTAAGCTAACGAGTGACTTTCTTTTATAGTAGCACTTTACTTAATGATTAGGATTGATGAGCCAAATATTTTATGTAATTAAATTTCCAGGTGATTGATACACAACTCACAATGCAATAAAACTGTTCAGGACAAGGAGGTCTGCCAATTTGAGGGAACTTCATCCACACCTTTTAAAAAGTAGTTTGCAGTTAGGACAGTTAGGTAGTTGGCAGCTGCCTTTAGGTTGATGAAGAGTTGGGGAATACCAGAACCTTTGAGTTCTACAGTGATAGGGAAGATGAGAAAGAGGCTGATGGAGATTTCTAGAAATAGAGCACTAACCCACAACCACAGATTTCTTCCCTTCAATAAAATTTTCCCCAAACAATAATGCCAACACAATACAAATACTAATTTAATTAACAAATAATATCCACAATTGTAATTAAGGTGACATTAGCTGCTTTAGTAGAGACATTCCAGAATCTCAGTGACTTAACATAAAGGATGTTTGTCACCTGCTCATAGAAAGTTCTATGGTTGGCCTGGTTGGCCAAAGTGGGAGTGGTGAGTGGGTGTTCGGGTCCATGGAGTCATTCAGGGACGCAGGCTGACAGAGGCACTGCCTTCCTTAACAGGTGAGCCCCAAGGTGACCCTGGGTCTCAGCATCCAGCTGGCAGGTGGGGGAGGAGGGAGATTTTGGAATATGAGGTGTCTTTGTTAGTTACCTCTGGAAGTGGAACCCATGAAGGAGAATAGAAACTGAGGTGGAGATAAAGGTTTTGCTGTTGAAGAATGTATCAGCCACAAACAAACAAAAAGTCTCTACTAATAATTTGGTTATCATTTTCAAATTATTTTCTGAAGATACTTTATAAGCCAGGAATTACTGCCACAAAGGGTACAAGTTGTTGCTGTTGTTGTTGTTGTTTTTTAATAAATAGATTAAATAGAGACAAGATCTCACTCTGTCACTCAAGCTGAAGTGCAGTGCTGTGATTATAGCTCTCTCTAATCTCAAACTCCTGGCTTCTCTAGTAGCTGGGACCACAGGCATATACCATCACACACAGCTAATTTTTTTGTTTTTGTTTTTGTAGAAATGGAGTCTTGCTCTGTTGCCCTGGCTGGTCTAAAACTCTTGGCCTCAAGTAATTCTCCTACTTTAGCCTCCTAAAGTGCTGGGATTACATGTGTGAGCCATTGTGCCCGGCCCACAATTGTTTTTAGGGCTCCTTGATTCATTCTGTTGGATCAGTTCCAAAAGGAGTGGGGAAATTCTTGGTGCCACCAGCAAGAATGGTGCCCACCATTCTGGGCGTGTCTCCTTCCAAAGCAGTCTTCCCACCTGGCTTTTATCACAGTTCAAACCCTCCAAAGTGGACAGAGAGGAGAGGCACACTAAAACTTTCCTCTACATTTCATAAAGATGGAAAGCTTTTACAGACTTTGAGTAGAGTTTAATGTATTTAAACAGAAAAATATGGCTCTTCATTGTTCTGAAAAAATACTGAAGGAAATAGAATGTTTTAAATAGTGATTTTAAAGATTTTATATTTTCCTTTAAAAATATTACTTGTGATGATCTCTTTTGCCAAATTATTTTCAGAAACATTACATTTTGGGTGTGGCAACAGCTATGGTTGGAAAATTTGCCATTGGGGCAGCATTTGGCCTCATTTATCTTTATACAGCTGAGCTATATCCAACCATTGTAAGGTAAGGATGAATTATTTTCTGGTTGTTTTCCTGTTATCTTTTCACTTGTGTGCCGTTTCATCGTATTTAGCCTTTACATGTAAATGCTGGATTTTTTTCATAGAAGTTACCTATCTCTGAGATGGGAAAATGACATGCTGATGCTAATTCTGAGTCTGAGGCTTTGTACCTTATTAGCAAGGATGTCAAACAAATTATTTTGAAATAAGACTCGATTATTCCAAAAACATTTTAAGTTTCAAGTACCATAGACTTTCACCGAGTCTCTGTATTGACTCAAAGCTAATTTCTCAGGATGTGTCTCTCGATGTTCTGATGTCAGTTGTGTTAGTCGGCTTGGGCTGCTGTAACAAAATACCACAGGCTGGGTGGCTTAAACAATAGAAATTTATTTTCTCACAGTTCTGGAGGCTGAAGTCCAAGAACAAGGTGTCGGCAGGTTTGGATTCTCCTGAGGCCTCTCTCTATGGTCTTCAGGTGGCGCCCTCTTGCTGTGTCCGCTCGGGTCCTACCTCTGTGTGCACCGCTGGTTGTCCCTCTCTCTTCTTATAAGACATCAGCAATATTGGATTAGGGCCTCACCCTAACAGCCTCATTTTAACTTAATCACCTCTTTAAATACCTTATCTAGATATGCCATTACGTCATAAAGTACTGGGGGTTGAGACTTCAACACTTGACCTTTGGTAGGCACAACTCAGCCCATAACACCAGCAGTCATTGGCTCCCTGAGATCACCTTATCTGGAGGCTCTCCTGGCAGCTCATCAGGGTCATTGAGGCATTTCATAAAAAATATCAGTCTTGGGTCCTTACACCAGATTTGCTGGATCAATCCAAGAATGAGACTTGGGATTTTTTTTTTTTTTTTCTTTTTCTTTTTGAGATGGCGTCTCGCTCTGTCACCCAGGCTGAGGGCAGTGGCATGATCTTGGCTCACTGAAACCTCGGCCTTCCAGGTTCAAGCGATTCTCCTGCCTCAGCCTTCTGAGTAGCTGGGACTACAGGTGTGCACCACCATGCCCGGCTAATTTTTGTATTTTTAGTGGAGATGCGGTGTCACCATGTTGATCAGGCTGGTCTCAAACTTCTGACCTTGTGATCCACCTGCCTCAGCCTCCCAAAGTGCTGGTCTTACAGGTGTCAGCCACTATGCCCCACTGAGACTCAGGATTTTTAGGAAGTCTTCAGGTGACTCCGAGCTGCCGCCCACCATCTCTGGGAATGTCTAATGTGATTCCCACGATTTGGGAGCCTCGGGGACTTTCAAGCTTTTAAAAAGCTTTTCCAAACAAGTTTTACTTGGAAACTCTTTATGTGGTGAAGAGGACAGAGGCCCTTTGTGGAAGCTCTGCTGGGGAACCTGGAATTCCCCCAGTGCTCCTGTCTTCTTGCTCCAGGGTCCTGCAGCAGAACTTCAAGGCCTTAACAGAGCATTCTTTGTAATCCCCAGTTCTTGTTGTAACCCTCACGTCCAGATAAGACAGCTGAGAGCAGGGAGATCAAGTACCTGGTGCAAGACGCACAGCGGAGTCCCCAGCTATAAGGAGAAGCCATCCTTTCTCTGATTCTCCATCGGACTTGTTTGTTTGTTTTTTTTTTTTTTTTTTTTTTTTTTGAGACAGTCTCACTCTGTCGCCCAGGCTGGAGTGCAGTGGCGTGATCTTGGCTCACTGCAACCTCTACTTCTTGGGTTCAAGTGATTCTCATTCCTTAGCCTCTTGAGGAGCTGGGATTATAGGCACGCACCACCACGCCCAGCTGATTTTTGTATTTTTAGTAGAGAGAAGGTTTCACCGTGTTGGCCAGTCTGGTCTTGAACGTCTGACCTCAAGTGATCTACCCACCTTGGCCTTCCAAAGTGCTGGGATTACAAGTGTGAGCCACTGCACCCAGCACATCAGACTTTCTGAGTCTTTCTTTGCAACACGATCTTGTATTTTAAAGTGTAAATAGTTAGGGTCACACTGCGGCCAAGAGACATTTGTCCCACAGATCTCCCTCTAAAGTTTCATAATAGTTTCCTATCAGCAGTCCACCCTTAAATCCTCCACGTGGCATTTTCCTTACACCTGCTTTATCAAATATACGTTTTTCTTTTTTTTTTTTTTTTGGAGACAAAGTCTTGTTCCTTCACCAGGTGCCAGGCTGGAGTACAGTGGCGCGATCTTGGCTCACTGCAACCTCTGCCTCCCAGGTTCAAGCAATTCTCCTGCCTCAGCCTCCCAAATAGCTGGGACTGCAGGCATGCGCCACCACGCCCAGCTAATTTTTTGTATTTTTAGTAGAGACAGGGTTTCACCATGTTGGTCAGGATGGTCTTTATCTCTTGACCTCATGATCCGCCCACCTTGGCCTCCCAAAGTGCTGGGATTACAGGCGTGAGCCACCGCGCCCGGCCAAGCTTTTATTTTCTAAGGGAAAGAATTTGTTAGTGAGCTTGGACAATTTCTTAGCTTATAAAGACCCAATCTTAATGACAACAAATACACAAACATTAAGTTTTCTCACAGGAAACTTTTTCTAAAAATCTAACTGCTCAGCTAGTGGATTTATCCCTTTTAGGAGTATATTATTTGTCATGTGCTACAAGTTTGAAAGGCAAGTGACTTTCTGTAGAGATAAGTCCACATAACACCAGCCCAGAGGTGTCTCCTCCTTCCCTCCACAAGCAGGAGGGATATATGAATTGGAAAATCCATTAGTCAAGAGATAGCATAAATCTTTCCCTGGGAATTTTCCATGCCCACACATCTGCCTGCTGAAATTCTAGGGCAGGCAGCCCTGTGGACCAGGCTGAGTAAGTACATTTGTTTTGGCTGTAGACAGATAAATGGATGGATGGATGGATGGATGGATGGAAGAATGGATAGATAGAGTAGGTACACACATATATCTAAGAAAAAGTTTATCAGACTAATATGTGACCAGGGGTATAGAATAGCAGAGGAAGAACTCCCTGTGTAATTGTCTCTTAGCCCAGTTGTCAGAGAGTAGAGTTTTTCTTCTTCCTTCCTACTTTCACCCAGAGTGTTTGGGGGAGCAGTCTAAAAATAAATACATCTTCTGTCCATTTTACAGGTTTTGGAACTGAGATTCAGACAAGATTAGGGTTGTGGCCAACGGCACCTGGCTAGTTAGTGACCCATCAGAACTCAGATCCACATTTTTTGGCCCTTTCTGCCACCCAGTGAAATACACGAGAATTTTTATGGGAGACAGTGCTTAACATTAGCCAGGGATGATTGCTGGCAGTAGAGCTTTAGTAGCAGAGGGGAAGAAGGTATTTTGGGGTAAGGGCTTTGTGAACTCTTCTCAGATCAGATTGTAAACGTGGCAGGCAGAATAACAGATTACACTGTAGCACTTACGGGATGACAATCAATCGTGGAGACTAGTTGAATGCAATAGAGTGAAGTTATGTAATCACCAATTCATGTTATAGCTTTGGCTCCCTTGTGGCTGACCCAGGGAAGAAGCTGCTGTAAATCAGGGAGAATGTCTTTGGCATGTCCTGTGGGACCCTTCTGGCCTCTCAGGTGGATTTCTGCTCAGCCAGGAAAAGCTGCAGATTTTCCCAGTTCAGAATCCGGATTAGACCAGATCCATGCAGTGTCTGGCACATATTAGACTCTTGACACACATGTGCTAAGTGAATGAATGTTATATGTTAAAAAGGTGACAATCCAATCAAATAGTGTCAATGTGCATTGCAATTATGAATATTATAGTTTTTTTAAAGATTTTTTTTTTGTTGGGTTGGTTGTTGGTTTACAACCACAGGTACATGACCTCAAAAAAATCTAGTATGTAAATATTTAATATAGGAAATCTTTAACCAACTCTATGAGCTCCCTAAACACCCTAACACTGCATGCAAAACTTTACTTATATATGATTTCTTTCTCAGAAGAATGCCACACTTTTCATCAGTTTTTTATAAATGTGTGTAACCCAGAAAAGATGAGGCACCATTAATTTAAAGGGGTACTTATTTGCATAAAAGAACAGTCTTTTCTTACTAACACTCTATAAGTTTTCTCTTAGTAACCTGTAAAGAAAAGCACATTAAGATATTTCTTGACTTGGCCAGGTGCGGTGGCTCACGCCTGTAATCCCAGCACTTTGGGAGGCCAAGGCAGGTGGATCACAAGGTCAAAAGATCGAGACCATGCTGGCCAACATGGTGAAACCCTGTCTCTACTAAAAAAATACAAAAATTAGCTGGGCATGGTGGCTTGCACCTGTAGTTCCAGCTACTCGGGAGGCTGAGGCAGGAGAATTGCTTGAACCCGGGAGGCGGAGGTTGCAGTGAGCCAAGATCGCGCCACTGCACTCCAGCCTGGTGCCTGGCAACAGAGCAAGATTCTGTCTCAAAAAAAAAAAAAAAAGATACTTCTTGACTCTGAAATGTTGAAATAGAATAGCCCACAGGTATACAGATACTTTGTTCTCTCTCTACCCGAAACAAATTCCTTATTATTCCCACTCCCTACCTGAAACAAATTCCTTATTATTCTCAATATTAGTCTGGGCCAATACCCATAAGGGCCTGATCTGCACAGGAGATGAAGGATGACTTGCCTCCACACCCCTACCTTTTTTTGTCTTTTTTTTTTTTTTTTTTTTTTTGAGACAGAGTTTCACTCTTGATACCCAGACTGGAGTGCAATGGCTTGATCTCGGGTCAGTATAACCTCTGCCTCCCGAGTTTGAGCAATTCTCCTGCCTCAGCCTCCCAAGTAGCTGGGATTATAGGTATGTACCACCATACCCTGCTACTTTTTGTATTTTGGGTAGAAACAGGGTTTTACCATGTTGGCCAGATCCGCCCGCCTTGGCCTCCCAAAGTGCTGGGATTACAGCTGTCAGCCACCACACCCGGCCCCTTTTTATGTCTAGAATTGTCTTGAATTATGTGCATGCTTGTATACACCACTGTTTCACACAATGCAGGTATTGTGATTCTTGAAAACTAAGTAAAATTATTTTCAAGCTTACATTTTTTTTTTACGGTCACGCGTTACCTAATGATGGGCATATGTTTTAAGAAATGCATCCTTTGGTGATTTGTGGTTGTCAGAACATCACAGAGTGAACTTACACAAACATAGATGGCCCAGCCTACTACCCAGGCTGTGTGGTACAGTGTGGTGTTGCTTGCTCCTCAGCTGTGATCCTCCACACCATGTAACTGCACTGAACACTGTAGGCAGTCATAACAGTGGTAAGTATTTGTGTATCTACACATATTGAAAGATAGAAAAAGTTGAGTAAAAATGTGCTATTGTAATCTCTCGGGGCCATCGAGGTTGAGCGAAATGGTGTAATGCAGTGCCAGAACACCCTTATTCTCGCTGGGGAGGGTGGAAAAGAAGCTGCAGGAAGCAGGTCCGTCACTCCTCACATCACTTGTGCCTTACCTGTCTCAGACTCTATCCTCTGTTTCCAGGTCGCTGGCTGTGGGAAGCGGCAGCATGGTGTGCCGCCTGGCCAGCATCCTGGCACCGTTCTCCGTGGACCTCAGGAGCATTTGGATCTTCATGCCACAGGTTGGCTTCAGTTTGCGACCCTTCCCAAGGTGGCAGGGAGGCACAGTTTCTAATTGACTATTAGCGACTTCTCTACTGTTATTTATAGAAAGCCAGTTCATAATTTCCTAATGGGGTTTGTAGAAACAATCCCATTATCCACAGCTTGCCAGTTGGTGAGTAGGGTGGTGACTGCTGTGCGACTGGCCACTGGTGGCCTTCCACCACTGCTGAGCTGTGCATTACAACTCTGCCTGCCGCAGAAGGGTGTGTCCTCACTCTTCCCTGGAAGCCAGGCCTGGGGAAGGGAGAGCTTTGGACAGATGCCCTGTCCTCCCCAGGGCATCTGTCCCTACCCTCGGGCCTGGCCCTTGCCTCTGTGTTTCCACTGAACGCCTCTTGGGCAAGGCGAATTCTGGAGGCAGCCTGCTCCCAAAAGATTCTGTGGTGCCTAATGGAGAGCATTAGCAACCCATGGTTCTCAGCTGACCTGAACTCGAGGGGCTCCTTGTGGGCGAGGCTTCTGGCTCCAGCAGTGTGACCCATTTGCCTGGTTTCAAAGAGTAAGTGCAGGGACACTTAGTTTGCAGATCCTAAGTACAGGCACACTTAGTTTGCAGGTAGGGGCTGAGAGGCTGGGAAGGCATGTGAGCACCGCTGCACCTGGCTTTAGTGGACTCTTCTACTCAGGAAGAAGATGCTGGACGAGTGGAGAGCAGGGATGACTTCCCGGCCCACAGCCCCTCCTCCTCCCTCCCCTCCAGTGCCTCCTTCCTTTTTTCTGATTGTGCTTTTGATAGACTCAGGCTGCAGGATTCCCTCCTGGCCTCTTCCCTGCCCGCTGAATGCATGACCTCTCCTCCCGGCTGCAGGCACGCGTTTCCTCCAGCCTCATCAGCATTCTCCCTGGATGTCTTACCACAAACTCAATGTCTCCCCACAAACTCAGTGTCTCCCAAGCAGAACTGACCAGTGACATCTGTCTCCCATTTTTAGTTAAGGATAAGTCAGTGGCATCAAGCATGACACGGTGGCATCGACTTCTTATTGATCCTTTTCTTTCTCCTACCCTTCTAACCCATTCATCACTGAATCCTCACATTCTCTTTCGAAACTGTGCCTGCAGCCTGCCTCCAGTGACTCCCCATCTTCTCCCTGTAGAAAGTAAAAGGTTCCGGCTGGGTGCAGTGGCTCACGCCTGGAATCCCAGCACTTTGGGAGACAGAGGTGGGTGGATCATGAGGTCAGAAGTTCAAGACCAGCCTGACCAACATGGTGAAACCCTGTCTCTACTAAAATTACAAAAATTAGCCGAGCATGGTGGTGCGCGTCTGTAGTCCCAGCTACTCAGGAGGCTGAGGCAGGAGAATCACTTGAACCTGGATGGTGGAGGTTGCAGTGAGCTGAGATTGTGCCACTTTACTCCAGCCTGAGCAACAGAGTGAGACTCTGTCTCAAAAAAAAAAGAAAAGAAAGTTTAAAGTTCCTCTTTAAAATTTCTCTTCTTGTTAAAGAATAATAATAATGAATGCTGGAAATAATTGTTTTAAAGACTAACTTTCTTCAAAGCATTCTCGCTTTTGCTAATAACTATTTGTTAAGTCCTATCCTATGTAGCTGTTAGACATGCTCACAAGCACATAGTACATTCTATGTCCTTGTACTTTAGCCAAGATATCTGTGCTGGACGTGCTCACAGGCATGTCCAGCTCTCGGTCTATGCCCCTTCCTTATTTAGACATCCTCTTTTCTTTTGTTCTCCACTGCTTTTACCTACTGAGAAAAGTTTTAAGTTGTTAGCCTATCAAGTTCAGTTTAAATTGTGAAGTCTAGCTCCAACCACCAGAGATCAGACACAGCAGTAAAGACCCGATGCATAAAGAATAAATATGCCTGCCTTTCCTTTGTTCATTGTATTCTCATAGCAAGATAGTTAACCAGAGCACCCTTTCTGCGGTAAGTAAAATTGCCTTGCTAAGAAAACATTTTGTCTGAATGCTAATTTTTCCTTGCAGTACCTAAGAACACGCATCTGTCTCTAACAATCCCCACCTCATCAGGGTAGCAGAGACGGCACCACGCCCATGACTTAGTGCCCCAGTCAGCTTCAGAATAAAGATCCAAACTCAGCCTATACACAGGGCTTTTCCCGATTGACCCCCCCGCCCATCTCCCCTATTCTGTTCCTCATGCAGCTTCCCCTCTTCTTCACACTCAGCCACCATGCTCAGCCATTTTTTTTGTCTTGAACTGTCTTGAATTATGTGCGTGCTTCCCATCTCCTCCCTGTCCTCACCCCACCCCCTCCCCTTCCATGCCACTGCCCCAATGGCCTCTCCAAAGAGAACGCTCCTCTCTCATGTATCCGTTAAGTAGCCATCCAGGTATCCTCCTTCCAGGAGGCCACCCAGATCCAGTGACCCCGCCTCTCCTTTTCTCAAGCACGTCTGTACAGCATTTAGCGGGTGCCTCTTTCCAGGCCCTCTTCACAGTGTGGTTCTATCACTTGCACGTGTGTCTTTGTCGCCTCAGTCAGGCTGCTGTGCTTTGCAGAGCGGGGCAGTTTGCATCCCCACAGCTAGGGCCAGCAAAGTGTGTCCCTCAGCTTGTGTGCCACCCAAGCTGTCATTCATCTACTATTTTAAAATCAAATAGACTGCCTGTTGGAAATTAGCTTTGTCCTAAACAATAACATCAGTGAGATCATGGGTGTTACAATAGTTATGTGTTTTTCTAAAAGACACTAACATAATCTCACAAGTAATAAAACAGTGCTTGGTACCCCGCCGGAGTCCCCTTGTACACACAGCGGGTGCCCATACTGCTCTTCAGGAACTGCTGGCTTGGCATGAGTGTCTCCTGCGTCCCAGGAGCAGATGCTCAGTAAAGGGCTTGGATGTGTCATTGGGGTGTTAGATCCCAGCCTCTATCTCAGGCTGACTCAGGTTAGGAAACCATATGGGCTGTGTGGGAGGTGTTTTTGGGGAGTCTATCACCCTTTTTAGGTCATGGACTTTTCCAGAAGCATCTCCTTTGTGCTAGCACTTATTTTCCTCATTTTGTTTTAAGAAAAGATAAAATGGAAAAGTGTTTATTAAAACAAGTTGAAACATGCAAAAATGAAACAGATAAATTTATAAAAGCAAATTACTATCAATCGACTAAAACCAAATAAAGATTTTTTTAATGGATATCTGTAAGGCTCAATTAAGGACTATGGACTTAAAAGGGATCTCTAATTTTATTTAACAGATATTTAAACAAGCTCTTTTTATTTTTATTGTTTTTCTAGACAGAGTCTCACTCTGTCAACCAGGCTGGAGTACAGTGGTCTGATCCCAGCTCACTGCAACCTCCACCTCCTGGGTTCAAGTGATCCTTCTGCCTTAGCCTCCCAATTAGCTGAGACTACAGGCATGCACCAGCAAGCCTGGCTATTTTTTTTTTTTTTTTTGTATTTTTTAGTAGAGATGGGGTTTCACTATGTTGGCCAGACTGGTCTTGTACTCCTGACCTCAGGTGAACTGCCCACCTCAGCCTCCCAAAGTGCTGGGATTACAAGGCATGAACCACCACACCCTGCCCAAACAAGCTCTTTTTAAAATGCTTTATAAAAATTAATCTTAATATAATGCAGATACTGTTGTTCTCCTCATTTTACAGATGAGGAGACTGATGGACAGAAAACAATCATTAGCCCAGGGTCGCACACCTTAAAGGTGACAGAGCTGGGATTTGAGAAGTGAAAACTCTGATCTGAAAGATGTTTATATTTTCTTTTCTGAAAAGAGGCACATGAAAAATCACTCATTCTGATGCCATTATTTTCTAATAATCTAAAAAAGGTGGACAGTAATTAACTTTTTGTGTGTTCATTAACTCGTTTGGCAAACACTGACAGAGTGTTGATTTCGAACTAGCCACCCTGCTAGGTGCCAAGGAGCAGAGATGAAAGAAACAGACTGTCTTGAGAGACGTCCAGTCTGGTGGAAAGGGCAGGAGAGCAAACTGTCACCAGCCCCGGAGAGAAGGGCTGGGGCGGGGCAATGCCAGGTGTGGTGATTTAAAAGATATTAACAGCAGTAGTGACAAAACATTAAGAAACATCTTGCTTTTCAATATTTAATGGCAGTAATGAGAGCCGACATGTATTGGCTGCCTACCTCGGCCAGGCACTGTTCCAGATGACTTTTGTGTGATATTTAATTCCATCCTCTCAACAGTACTTTGTGACAGATACTGCTCTTTCATCTATTTTACAGAAAAGGAAACTGAGGAGCAGAGAGGTTAAGTAATTTGTCCAAGGCCACACAGGTAGCAGGTGGCAAATACCCAGACAACGTGGGTATGTAGATTATAAAAGGGTCAAGAACGTCCTTTTCTTTCTTTCTTTTTTTTTTTTTTTGAGACCGGGTCTCATTCTGTCACTGAGATTGGAGTGCAGTGGGGCGATCTCGGCTCATTGCAACCTCTGCTTCCTGGGCTCAAGCAATTCTTCCACCTCAGCCTCCCAAGTAGCTGGGACCGCAGGCATGTGCCACACACACCTGGCTAATTTTTTGTATTTTTTCATAGAGACAGAGTTTCGCCATATTGCCCAGGCTGGTCTCAAACTCCTGACATCAAGTGATCCATCAGCCTTAGCCTCCCAAAGTGCTGGCATTACAAGTGTGAGCCACCACACCCAACCTTTGAGAACCGTTTTTTTTTTTTTTTTTTTTTTGAGATGGAGTTTTGCTCTTGTCGCCTAGGCTGGAGTGCAGTGGCACAATCTTGGGTCACCGCAACCCCTTCCTCCTGGGTTCAAGAGATCCTCATGTCTCCAACTCCCAAGTAGCTGGGATTATAGGCATGTGCCACCATGTCTAGCTAATTTTGTAATTTTAGTAGAGATGGAGTTTCACTATGTTGGCCAGGCTGGTCTCGAACCTCTGACCTCAGGTGATCCACCTGCCTTAGCCTCCCAAAATGCAGGGATTATGGGCGTGAGCCACCATGTCTGGTCCTTTGAGAACTTTTCTTTTTGCTGAGGGAAAATAACTGGCAGACAGGAAAAGGTCAAAAATGTGTGAGAAGGAGGTTGGACCATTGATGGAGGGAGATCTCCGAGGAGGAGGTGAGAGGCGATGGGGTCTGGAGAGCGTAAAAAAATCCACCTGACCAGGAGGAGGGAAGGGTGGGGAAGTGGGGGCTTGTCTCAATGTTTGGTTTGGGGTTTGTGGGATTGTGGGGAGCTGAACAGGGGAGCAGGAGTAAGGAGGAGATGGAGATGTATGATTTGTTTACTGCCTATTTTTACTATCAAGCGAAGAAGAAAAATTCCATTCTGTTCTGGATCTTCCATTTGATTCTATTTTGCTTTTAGACTTACTCAGTGTTTTTCAGACCCTGACATAGGGCCCTCCTGGGGTTTCTAGATCACTGGATGTATTTGCCATGTCTTGAGAGATCAGAAAATGCCTTTAAAATTCCTTTAGAATGTCTGAAATTCTGCTTGAAATCCTTGAAATTCTGCTACTGCTTCCAGGTTAAGCTTGCTCATATATTTCTTAGAATTAGGTTATCAGTGCTCTGCAAAACAAAATAAAAAACTGCCTTCCCAGTTCTCATCTGTTATGGATGTGGTCTGGCATCACCTCACACTTGCTTTATGTATTTTATGATTTTCATTCTCAGAGGCTATAAACATACCAAGTGTGAAGATTTATCAGAAAAGTCATATCTTAATTTATTTTTATAGGGTCTTTCTAGCAAATATATTTTGCTAAAGGAGTTTAAATTAAGTAAGGATGGATTGTGTTTTTACAGATTGTATAGAGATTTAGTTCTGTTAATAAAAACCACCTAGCATCTTCATAATGATAAATAGAGAATAGATATGCAGACTTTAATTTTTAATGTGACCTACATTTTTAAAAGCAAACGCCTTGGCGCTAGTCTAAAAGGTTGCCTTTTATGTGTCAAAATCTGGAAAATAAAGAAATCATACCGAACTATATAGGAAATCACATGGATCCCTCCCCGATAAAGTGACTGTTTGTCTTCACTGCCTTAGCTTCTCCCAGATTCTGGTTTATTGAAACCTGTATTCATTCATTCATTCATTGCCTATCATTTCCTGAACTCTAATAGTGTACTGATTATTGGGGCAGGGACAGGCTTGACAAAGATAGTCCCTGCTTGGTGTGTCCTAGCCCAGGGCTCAGTTGCTTGTTTCCTCCACAAGACTCTGGGGTCCGGAAAGATGGGGCAAGGGTCTTTTTCCTTTGAGACCACAGCTTCTAGGATGGTGCCTCCAGGAGTAATAACGCAGGCAGCAGCTGGCAATTGAGTAGGCGCTCCACGGTGAGTCATGAATGAATTAACGATGAGTGATGAGATTAAGTCTCATTGATGAGAGAAAGAAATCGAAGTCTAGCACAAGTAACCAAAGGTCTCACCGAGTAATCACAATGACAACTGTTATGTCAAACTTAATTTCATTACCCTCTGAAAACAGGAAATTCTCTTTTTTGATGGATGCGTTTCTTGATGTGTCACATCGTTATTTTTAATTCCTTCTAGGTGTTTGTTGGGACTATGGCCTTCCTCAGTGGAGTGTTAACACTGAAGCTTCCAGAAACCCTTGGGAAGCAGCTGGCATCTACTTGGGAGGAGGCTGCAAAACTTGAGTCTGAGAATGAAAGAAATTCAAGCAAATTGCTTCCCACAACTAATAATATTGGGCTGGAAAAAACAGAAGCGATTACCCCCAGGGATTCTGGTCTTGGTGAATAAATGTGCTGTGCGTGCCGTCTAGCACCTGAAATACTATTTCCCTTACTGCGTTTGTATTCGAGGAACCTTATTCTCATCTCCCACATGTTGTTTGTATGTCTTTTTAATAAATTTTGTAAGAAAGTTTTAAAGCAAATGTGTGATAAAAGAAATAAAAACTAAGATGAAAATTCGCATTTTTAAAAACTGCTTTCTTATTGCTGCAAAGTATTTTTCCACATTTGTTTTTCTATGTTGCTGATTCTCAGTCTTTCCCCACCGCCACCCCACCACGCATGCCAGAGGGGGTTCACCTATTTCTATCCGCACCAGAACCGCCCGTCACGGCTTCCGAAAAGAAGGGGGCACGTGAGGGTATGTTTCTCTAGACAAACCTCCTTGCAGATTCTATTTCTGATATTTTTCCCCCTCTTATGAGAATCATAGCTCTAAATACAAGTCTCATTCAGAAATGCCCTGTCAAAAAATGCCTGTCTTCACAATACCTTAAAAACTCAGAGCTACGAAAAGGGTTTTGCTTCCCAGAACCTTGAGGCAAGAAGGCTTGATGTACAGACAATTGAGCTTGTGTTTGGTCCAGATAAGGGACACGCACCTGCTGGGGTCCAAGAGTGAGCTTTCTAGTCTGGCATTCTCATTTTTCTCAAATTTACCAAATTCTCCCTGTAATTCTCCTCCACAGCCCAGAGAGGCTGTGACATTTTAGTGCATTGCAGACTTTTTCAGTTTGCAGATCATCCAGGAAACTGACTGTAAGTACCATCTGGATTTGTGGCCAATGTAAAAACGTTTGTAAGTAATCTTGCCTTTAAAAAAATAACTTACATGAAGATTTTACTCTTTTTTAGTATACATTTTTTTCCCAACTCTACTTAAAACCATAGTCTTCCAAAAACATTAATAATATCCTGGACATTTCAACTCCAAATTATGTCCTCATTTATCTGTGGAAGAATGCATTTCAGATTAACAGTCAGTTTCCCATGGGTTTTGGGTTTTTCTTTACTGTGGTTTCATCATAAGTTCATTATTTTTTTCTTTGCTCTTGAGATTTTGCTGCTAGGTATGTCTTACATCCTGCATTTGAATTGGTGAAATATTAGCGTTATCTGCAGAGGCAAGTAGAAGAAGGCAGTTACACAGACGTTGTGAGTTTACAAAGCATTGCCAAGGGGGAAAAAAAGGAGGAATTTAACCTGAATTATTGTCTTTGTATATGAGTTTAGTTCCCTGGGTAATTGCTTAGTTCTTCACTTGGACTTTCCATTAACAAAAGTTTTTCTCCCTTTATAAAAGAATATAAAATAGCCGGGCGCAGTGGCTCACGCCTGTAATCCCAGCACTTTGGGAGGCCGAGGCGGGTGGATCACGAGGTCAAGAGATCGAGACTATCCTGGTCAACATGGTGAAACCCCGTCTCTACTAAAAATACAAAACATTAGCTGGGCATGGTGGCGCGTGCCTGTAGTCCCAGCTACTCGGGAGGCTGAGGCAGGAGAATTGTCTAAACCCAGGAGGCGGAGGTTGTGGTGAGCCGAGATTGCGCCATTGCACTCCAGCCTGGGTAACAAGAGCGAAACGGAGACTTCTATGGAAGAAAAGGAAGAAGACATTTCTTGAGCCTTTCTCTCATATTTTGTCTCTTTTTTCTTTTCCTTCAGCCTGTTTTTCTACTGCCATCAAAATTTTTCATCTTAGTTAACATTTCATTCTTTCTTTCTTTTTTTGAGACAAGATCTGGCTCTATCCCCCAGGCTGAAATGCAGTGGGCTCACTGCAACTTCTGCTTCTTGGGCTCGAGCCATCCTCCCATCTCAGGATTGCAGGTGTCCACCATCATATCCAGCTAATTTTGGTATTTTTCATAGGATTTGTATTTTTTTGACAGGATTTCACCATGTTGCCCAGGCTAGTCTCAAACTCCTGATCTCATGCAATCCACCCGTCTTGGCCTCCCAAAGTGCTGGGATTGCAAGTGTAAGCCACCACACCCGGCAATACTTTCTTGACTTTACTTTGATATTCTGTTCATTTGCTAAGGTGATCATAGCAGAATACCGCAGACTGAATGGCTTAAACAAGAGAAATTATTTCCTCAGAGTCCTGGAAGCTGGAAGTTCCAGATCATGGTGCCAGCCCAGTTGGTTTTCTGATGCCTCTCTGGCTAACAGCTGGTTGCCCTCTTGCTGTCTCTTAACCCTGTCATCTCCTTGTGCATACATACCCCTGACTGGTATCTTTCCTTCTTCTCCCCTTGTGCATACATACCTCTGGCTGGTATCTTTCCCTCTTCTTTTATGGCCAGCAGTCATGTTGGATTAGGGCTCCACTCCGATGACCTCATTTTAACTTAATCACCATTTGAAGGCCTCTTCTCCATATATGGTTGCATTCTAAGGGTTGGGATTTCAACATATGAATGTCGAGGCATTTCTTTACATTTTTATTACCCACTGTCTTTGTCAGCTTGGGCTGCTATTCAAAAAATACCACCAACTGGGCAGCTTGAGCAACAGAAATGTACTTCTTACAGTTCTGGAGGCTGGGAAGTCCAAGATTAAGGTGCCAGGAAGGTAGGTTTCATTCTGAGGCTTTTTCTCTTGACTTGTAGGTGGCTGACATCTCCCTGTGTGCTAACAGGACCATTTCTTTGTGTGCACAGGTGTGGAGAGAGAGCAAGCTCTCTTGTGTCTCTCATCATGAGGGCACTAATCCCATCAAGGGCCCCACCCTCAGGCCCTCGTCTAACCCCAATTACCTCCCCAAAGTCCCATCTTCCAATACCATCAATTGATGGGGGTAGGGCTTCCACATATGAATTTTCAGGAGACACATTCAGATCATGACATCTACATATGTATCACTGTATCAATGTCTGGTCAGGAAAACAGAAACCACTGGAGATAATTCAAACAGAGAGGAATTTCCTGCATAGTCAGTTAAGAAAGTGTAGGAAAAACAAAATGGAGAAGTTACCTAGCGATCAGGAAGCCGGGAGCCTCCAAGCCTACACTTTCTGCTTCCGCTGCTCAGGCTGGAACCACATTTCTGCTGCTGACCAGAAACCCAGGAGCCCATACACCCACTGATTCTACCTAAACTGCCTATTATGCTTTCAACTGGAATGAGTTGAATTTTTAGACGAAGTTAGGAGAAATTGACTCTTTTTTCTGGTGTTGACTCTTCTATCCATTATCATGGGTTATCTCTCTCCATTTAGTTGGGTCACTATTAGTATCTTTTACTGAAGTATAATTTTCTCCATAAGGTTGTATACATTTTTGCTATATTCTTATATATAAATTTCCACTATAATTAGAAATGAGAACTTTCTAATAATAATATTTTCTGGCTGTATATTGCTGGCATAAAAGAAAGTGATTGATTTTATATGTTGATTTTGTATCCATAAACCTTGATTAAAGTATTTTAATTCAAAAGGAAAAAAAATTCTTTATTGGGGCTGGGTGCAGTGGCTTATCCCTCTAATTCCAGCACTTTGGGAGGCTGAGGCAAGTGGATCACCTGAGGCCAGGAGTTCAAGACCAGCCTGGCCAAACATGGTGAAATTCCATCTCTACTAAAAATACAAAAAAATTAGCCAGGCGTGGTGGTGTACACCTATAATCCCAGATACTCAGGAGACTGAGATAGGAGAATTGCTTGAACCTGGGAGGTGGAGGTTGCAGTGAGCCAAGATTGCACCATTGCACTCCAGCCTGGGCAACTCTGTCTACAAAAAAAAAAAAAAAAAAAAAAAAGTTTCTTTTTTTCTTTATGAGAATAAAAATTAGGCTTTTTCTTGTAAAAATTTACAAATGTTTATCATACAGGAAGTCAAACATACTTTGTTCCTTCGGCATTTCTTAATATGTGTAGCCTTCTGATTTTATACTTGGAAAATGGGGATGTTTTGTATAGATACATATCTATAATCGATGTTTTGTATAGATATATATCTATAATCATTGGAACCTAGTCATAACGCATCCAATCTGTCTCTGATTCCAAATATTTCAAGGAGTACTTTGCCATAGCATTGGAGTGATCAGAGAACAAACCACATACAAGTAGGTAAACTTCAGATAGGTGACCTTGTGTGTCAGTTCTGCGTAACCGAGGTTCATGCACTAACTTGACTTTGACAGGCCATGAAGTGTGAGGGGCAATAGAAGCCTCCTGGCCATAAGCCTTCCCACTTAAGCAAACCAATCTCTCTTTACCTCAATCTTCTCCTTTGGAAATTCAGGATTATAATACAGTGTCCCTCTGGAAATGGCAATATTAAAAGAAATGATATGGCGACATCATTTAATACCTCTCTACACAGCTCTGGTATTTTATAAGCCTATTTCTCCATTCTCTGTATGCGACTCCACCCTCGGGTGTCCTGCCCAGTCTTGGCCTTGGCCCGTGGGCATGGGGGCCCCTCCTGTCAGGACTCCGCATGCTGTCACTGTCCGACTGTGCCTACTGCATGCTGCTGTCCTCCCTTGTGGACTCTGCAGTTTAGCTACCTGGAGGTACTTCTGCGGTCTCTGTTGTGCCCTGATGGGTTAGTTTCGGTCCGTGATAGCTGCAGGGAAGACTTACTGTGAAACTAATGAAGCATAAACTTTAGGCTCCTTGAATTACACAGGCTCCCATGATGGAGTTTAATAATAAGCTTTCGTAAAATTTTGCAAATTTTGTGAAAGTAAGATCTATTCACTACAATCAGCTGTGACCAGTCTTTTTCCACTTGGTTTTCTGTCACATTCCCCCTCTGTCATATGGCATCAAAGTGGTCACAGCCATTCTTTTCTTTCATGATTTTGTATTTTTTTTCCTCTAAAGAGGGTTCCTGAAACTGTATAAACTTCAAGACCCCGCAAAAGCTGAATCTGTCCCCTGAATCACTGTTAAAAGATGTATTGTCGAGGAGGTTCATACTCAAAATATGCTCTGAATGTACTCAATTGAATGCTCTGAGGGGCACACCTGTGCCCTTTCTCGCCTATCAAATATGAAGTGAAAACATACTAAATGCAAAACGATGTAGGAAAAGGGGCACTTAATAAATTCTTGTACATGGTGAAGAGGAGTATTTTCTTATTGAAGCTGATAAAGCTAACTATGGCAGC